GCATTTCATTACCTACCATACCCCATTTTCTATGTGTTAACTCTTAGGAATACTTGGTTAGAAATCATCTGTAGAACAGCAAAATAGTGTGTGTGTGTGTGTGTTTATACGCACATATATCCATATACACACACACCACATACACATCATATATACACGCTCGCACGCACACACACATACAGAGGTGTGGGTGTATGTATGTATGTATATATGTACTTATGCATGTATAAATGTATACATGTATGTTTACAACACGCACCCGCACACACACACACATATGTATTTGTGTATATATATGTACAAAATATATATGTGTGTGTGTCTATGTATATAATATATCTATCTATACACACACACACATGTACACGCAGACACGCAGATTTATGTATATACTTAACGATTCACATACGTATACGTATATGTTTGCGATCATTAAGTAAATTTCTTGCCAGAAAAGAAACCAACGACGTAGCATAGATTCCGCTGTGACGAAACACCGCGGAAAGGTGTTGCCTAATTTCAGTAACTAACATTCCGCGTCTTCTTTATCAGGGTCCTTCCCCTATTTGAATCTAAAATTCGAGGATTTTTCCAGGTCTAAAAATTATTAATCAATGGTGTAGTTTAAACAATATATGACACCCATTTTTCAGAGTATTCAATGAATGGTGAAAATGGAAGACAGGACCCTGTTTATTGATCTTAATGTTCAGTTATGTACCAGATGCACGTCCATGACCATGTGCATGAACGCAGTAAGGTAAAGTGACCCAAGAGACGAAATGAAGTGTAGTCACAAATGTAAAGAAAGAATTAGGCTTGGTTTTCGATTTATCTTCTGATGAGGAGTCTATATCTATGTCTATATCTATCTAATTATTTATCTATCGATCCATCCATCAATATGAATAATATATATGCATACAAACATATGCACTCACACACACATACATATCTGTGTATATGTATATATACACATATCTGTATATATGTATTTAAATATGCACACACACACACAAACAAACATATATATGTATATATGTACTTATATACATCTAGGTAAATATATATATGTGTGTATGTATATAAATTCATACATAAACACACACACACACACACATATATATATATATATGTATGTATGTATGTATGAATATCTACATATATATATATAGATAGATAGATAGATAGATAGAGATAGAGAGAGAGAGTCTAGGCCGGCATCATGAAGCTGGGAGGATGTGTCACTTTGGAGCCCGACTGTACGCGCGGAGACAAGCGTGGGGCGGTTATTAAACTTTAAGGTTTGTTTATTTGTTGCAATTCACACAGACTCGTTATAGAGGTAAGACAGCAATAATAGTAAGGCAATTTAAGTTGATGGCGACATTATAACAGTAGCAGCAGTAGTAGTAATGAATATTAATGAAAATGATGCTATTCAAGCAAATAGCATTGATGAAAATATAAATGATAATATTAACAGTAGATAAGATAATGGTGATAATGATGATGATGATGATAATAAAGATGATGATGAAAATGATGATGCTAACAAAAATGGTACTAACAATAAAAAAATCGTAATAACATTAGTGATTGTAACAATAATGACAATGACTTTATAATAACTATAACAATAATAATAATCATCATTATAATGATCACCATCTTCATAATAATAATGATACTAACAAAAATGGTACTAACAATAAAAAAATCGTAATAACATTAGTGATTGTAACAATAATGACAATGACTTTATAATAACTATAACAATAATAATAATGATACTAACAAAAATGGTACTAACAATAAAAAAATCGTAATAACATTAGTGATTGTAACAATAATGACAATGACTTTATAATAACTATAACAATAATAATAATCATCATTATAATGATCACCATCTTCATAATAATAATGATACTAACAAAAATGGTACTAACAATAAAAAAATCGTAATAACATTAGTGATTGTAACAATAATGACAATGACTTTATAATAACTATAACAATAATAATAATCATCATTATAATGATCACCTAGCAACAATAATAATAATGATACTAACAAAAATGGTACTAACAATAAAAAAATCGTAATAACATTAGTGATTGTAACAATAATGACAATGACTTTATAATAACTATAACAATAATAATAATCATCATTATAATGATCACCATCTTCATAATAATAATGATAATGAAAGCACGAAAACAACCAACAACCAAAACTGTCATAGTAATGAGGGTACTTCAGAAAAGGGAGAGGTTGCAGGGAGAAAATTACCTTTGATTACTCAGGGGGACGAAAGCCTAGAGTCGCGAGTAATCAAGATAAATTCCTCGTCGTTTTCTCCGATCTGAGATAGTGATATATATATTGATTTTCCTCCCAGCAATATGCTTAGTACTGGAGAGGTTATTAATTAGATCGATAGGCGGCTGTAGATCGAAGGAGTTATATGCAGCGTGACGGGGGGGAGGGGGGGGGGGTTGATGATAGAGAGTAGGAGAAAAAAGAGCGAGAGATAGGAAGGAGAGAGGGAGGGAGAGCTTTATTATTTTTATTATTATTATTTTACTCTGAAGGCTTGATTCATGGGACACGAGTCGATGATTCCAAATATTGATATATATATCAAAAGATTCGTGCAATAAACTAAAGAGTATATTTGATAATTATATTGCATGTTCTTATTCATACAAGAAGTAAAACTCGCAAAGCATAACAATGACACAAAATGTAGAAATCAGTATTTTCTGAATTTGTCTTATATGCAGGTCTGCCACACACACACACACACACACACACACACACACACACACACACACACACACACACACACACACACATACACACACACACACGCACACACACACACGCACACACACGCACACACACACATACGCACGCACACACACACACACACGTTAACAAATCAAACTTATAAGAGTAATACTGGTTTCTGCTTAGTACAGAATAATATAACCATCCCACCACAGAATGAAAGCTGCATCATTTATTTTAAATACATACATCATGCATGTGAATAGTACAACTTTTACATTAGTGTTACTTTGTAGTTCCATATTTACGTGGATAAGTAATATACAGGAGGGGTGGAGTTGAAATTAATGGAAGAGGCTCAAGGAGGATGCACTGCAAAAAGGGAGATGAGAAGGTAGCGGCAAGCTATGGGCGGAGAAGGGAGAGACTTCGGTGTTGAGTGATGGCACGGAGTTCACGGGATGACTTGCTCGCTTTTAGAGGAACAGTTCATTTTAAGTGATGTGAAATTCATGCAAAGACGCTGTCTCGTCCGTGCACATTTGTCAGGAAAGAATGGCGAGAAAGAGAGAAAGAGAGAGAAAGAGAGAGAGAGAGAGAGAGAGAGAGAGAGAGAGAGAGAGAGAGAGAGAGGGAGAGGGAGGGGGAGGGACGGAGAGAGAGAGAGAGAGAGAGAGAGAGAGAGAGAGAGAGAGAGAGAGAGAGAGAGAGAGAGAGAGAGAGAGAGAGAGAGAGGGAGGGAGGGAGAGGGAGGGGGAGGGACGGAGAGAGAGAGAGAGAGAGAGAGAGAGAGAGAGAGAGAGAGAAAGAGAGAGAGAGAGAGAGAGAGAGAGAGAGAGAGAGAGAGAGAGAGAGAGAGAGAGAGAGAGAGAGAGGATGAGAGCGAGAGAGAGAAAGAGAAAGAGAGAGAGAGGGGGGGGTACGGGGAGTCATAGCCCGACAGATGAAGAGAGACTAATCTCCCTCAGCTCCGGAATTAAGCTAGAAACGTCATCCTTTACGAGGTTTCTCATTACACTAATGAGAGTCATTAATGCGATAATAAAATTGCTCATTACACCGATCCATTTCCGACTAAGATGTCATAATCTAAAACTTGAATTCTAAGATAAATGTCATTAAAGCTCGCTCATCTGTCAAACAATGTCAGTGTCATTCTCTTTTCTCAATTTCTTTCTGCCCTTATTTTTGGGAGAGAGAGAGGGTAAACTGCTTTTTAATGTAATCATGTATTGCGGTGGCCTTTAGTTCATATGGACATACAGACACAACTATACTAACACGCATATACATGTGACACACACAAACACACACTATCGAACACAAACCATCACACAACACATAAGCACACGCAAACACAATTTCTCACTCCCGAACACATACACCTACCGTCTCCAGCCGCGGGGCTCGCCACTAAATCTCCGGGAATAAGTCTCTTTAGCTCCGTACAGGCCACTTGAGCTTTCAAGTTGCCCTCCGTCCCTCCAGGTCACTAATAGGACATAAGACCAGGCACCACCCTCCTTAGTCTTGCTACAGAAAGAGACTATGGTACGAGTGTGTCTCAAATACAAGACTCCAGCAAGGACCAATAAAGACCTATTTACTTTCAATAAAAGAGTCGGCAATACGCTGGGCCACTATAATCAATGGCAGCCCAAGCGGCCCTGGCACTAGGGTTGAGTGACCGTCCGGCTCAAGCACCTGTGCCGGAGACAAGGTATAAACACTTCCTCTCATCTCTGTTACTCGTGATGTTCAAAGTGCTCTTGCAGAGCTAGTCTCGCTGCCCGTCGATACTACAAGCTTTCAGCCACGGCAATGCAGTGTGTGCTGACGTCATAATAAGTGCAAATGCAAGTGACTTTACTCTTGCACACTGACAGCGGTGTTATGACCTATGTCAACACGAAACCTGACTTCCGCTACGAACCTCTTCCTTCAGTTGTAGCATTTGCATTGTTGAAAGCGGGTAAACTGTCTGACGATTGAACGAATGATTGTCAATATGTAACCTACCAGAATGCATTCAACAGCAGCAACAGCCTCTTGTGCTGAGCTTTTTAGCACAAATATTTCATCACACCTTCACTTCTTATGGTTAATGGCACTGCAGCACTTAATACGAGCTTAATCCCCTCCAGGCAAAATAACAGGCAAGACCACAAAACCGGCAAGTTTCCATAGCATACAAACTCACCTATATCAAGCTAGACTCCCGGTCAGCTCAGCCAAGATGGAGAGCAAGAGGATCGACTACGCTCCCCAGCAC